ATCACAACGACCAACCAGAGAAGAGGAAAATCCCTTTGAGAGCTAATGCGAAACAACCAAACAAACTGTCAAAAGCGCGGGAAAAGGCGGGCGACCAAGTCGTGATTGATTTCAGTCTTGTTTCTGATTGGTCGAGCGGGTGGCGCAAGTTTTCTGGGCCAATCACAAAGCGAATTAAAGCAAAAGCGATACAATTTCTTTTGAAATGTTTTAGATGATAAGTTGTTTTCTTCTTTTACAGACTGCAGTCTTGGTTTGGGAATGATCACAGGCGACATCCGGAACTCTCAAATAACCGCCTCGTCTTCATACTCAGAGTGGACGCAGCCATTCGCCGGCAGACTTTGGAACACGAGGTGGGCTGAGTGACACAAGTTTTTGAATCACACTCAAGAAAAACTGACATACGTTTAACACACACTTAAAACTCGCCGGGGGTGGTCTAAGAGTTATAAGTCACAAAGTTCACACTCTGAGAACTCGACGACATCACTAAATAAGGTGTAATCAACAACACGACACGGGTGTGCTTCAAAAACTTTCATTTGAATGGTAACACACTGTCTAAACTGAAATTAAAGCTTCTGCAGCTTGCGCAGTATAAGTAAATAGTTCCACATGAAATTATGACCCACGAGGTTGAAGGGGAATAGCTATGATCACATACTACGCTTTCAAAAATCGAAACGTCAGTTTTAGAAACTCTTTACAACTGTGGTGGCCAAGATACATTATCAACTCAGTTAATAAAAACAAAGCAGTAATCGTTTCATCCACAGACGTATTCATTAAGGACACTTTGTGATGCACAAGAAACAGCACCACTTGAAATAACTCCTAGAGGGGCCTAAAGGTCTTGAAAGGACCAATCCGCACACATTAAGGCTTGGATCATAAACTTTTGGGGTAAAAGAGCTTTGAAAAGTAGAGAAAAAGTTCTGCTTGAAAAGCTGATACCCCATGAATTTTTCATTGTAGCCACCGCAGAGATCTATTAACAAACCTAGTGCTAGAGATAACTCTCAAGTTTTACCGATCTCTTTTTTCTCCGATTTAGGCGCCCTCATGGCCAAACTTTCGGTGGCTGGTGTGCGACAGATTGGGATCGCACTCCATATTTACAAATTGATTTTGGACAGGAAAGTGTCATAACAGCTGTGGCCACCCAAGGATTGGATTATCCGTCGGGAAACTGGGTCAAAAAGTACTCCTTAAACTACAGTTGTGATGGAATGAATTGGGAAACATACCAAAATATGGACAAAGATACGGTACATCAAACGCAACTATAGATGAAATTTTTAGTATTTATTTTTAAGAATTCCTAGCCAATGTTAGCTTGTTCGAAGCTAAAGAAAGAAATGTAATTCATTATTCTTCTACTTTTCTAATGAAATTGTTTGTATTTCTCATTCTCTTAGAGGTTGCGCGGGAACAAGGATGACAGCTCAGTAGTGACAAACAAGTTGGATAAGGCTATCATAGCACGATTTATTAGAATACTTGTACGGGAATGGAATGAATATGGCATCGTTTGCATGAGAGTTGAAATGTATGGCTGCAACACAGAAGGTAATATCAAACGTTTCTCAATTACATTGCCACTTTTCCTTCTCACGCATTATGCGTTTTTCGCTGCTCAGCTTTACAGATGGTTACATTTTTCAGCGTCGCGTTCTTTTGGATAGTTCTCTTGTTTATGCTTGTCCCTATATTATTGCCTGAATCAACAATGTACACTTTCTTAAGAAACTTTCCAACATCTTGAACTTAAGTGTAGTCTTATCGTCCAGGTGGGTGTAGGACTGAGAAGGACTGTTGTCGGTTGCGGAAAAAAAAATTATGATTTTTAGTAATAAAGTAGCCTAAAATGTTCCTAGATGCCAGTAACACGCTAGTGCAGGAATCCTTAATACGTAGCTATGTCAATTAAAATTATAGATTACAGCAAAAAATTAACCAGGTGAGCTCCCAAATACCAATACCTAAATACCATTATTGGTGTTAGAAACCCTTCGCCACCCCTTAGCTTTATCAGAAAAAAACTGATGATTCCCAGTAAATTAAACAACCTGGTATGCTTCCAAATGGCAGGTATACTTAGAGCCCGCCTACTATACTCTCCTTGAAAATCCTATTTATGCCATTAAGATAATTTACTTTCTCTACTAATCCATCCACAGAGGGTGGATATAAAGACTGCAGCGCTGCTGCCGGAATGGAAAGGGGCCAGATATCAGATAAACAGGTGACAGCGTCCAGTTTTATTCAGGGGCACCACCCGCATCAAGGCCGCCTCAATAACGTTTTCAAGCAGGTCAATGGCTCTGCTCTTTGGGGAAGCTGGTGTGCACAGAACGTGGATACGACGCAGTATATCCAGGTAACAAAATTTGGCCTGTCGATTGGGAATTTTGTGCATAGATCTTTGAGAGAGGGATAGGGAGAAAGGGCTGTCAGCGGTCAAAGGTATAAAAAGACTCGAGGATAAAAGGGAAATGTGGGTTTTACATCTCGTAGATCAAGCGTACTCAGCAAACGCGTGAAGCTGAAGCCCTAGTAAAGCGGCATCCTTATTAATTTAGCGTTGTTAGCATAAGGCATCTTCGTCTGGTCGTCGGGTCGTTTAATTAAATGGACTTATTTACACTGCATCCAGGGGTAAGATTACACCTACATCTTTGTGTTACAATATTTTTCAATTAAGTGTCATCGCACCGTACCCAGAGTAACCAAAATAGCAATCAGATGTAACGAAAATATCTCAAACAGCCAATGAGAATTCAAAGTAACTTCAAACTGCTTTAGGCTCGGGAAATGGCAAGTCACCAAGTCGTAATTCATACTGCATAGTGAACGGTCGTGGAAACTAATAATTCGCTGAGGTTAATCTTCTATGGCCTGAGGAGACTATCAATACTCCTTATCGCCTCATGCTTGGTTATGCTAAGGGTCCTGGGGAAAAAAAACTGAAGATGGATACAAGGCTAGTAAGACCTGATGCAACAGACAACTTGTAGATTGAAATAACTTTTTAAAGAAAATGACGAATTTTCGCTCTTTCTCAGGTTGATTTGAAAGAACTTCGTAACATCTCTGGCGTTGCGACACAAGGATCTGTTAGCATGGGGACCTGGGTAACAGAATACACGCTAAATTACAGTTCAGACGGCTTACAATGGCAAACGTACAGCAACGAAACTGGAATAGCAATGGTAAGAATTCTAAAAAGCATCTTTAGAACATGCCGTGATGCATTCTGTGTTTTAACGTAAGGCCTAAATTCGGAAGTCGCCGTTACTTTAGGCAGCTTTGACTTATCACGACTTAAATAACCCTTCATCCCTTCTTAGTTGGATCTAATTTCTCCTTACAGTGTCATGGCTGACTCAGACATTAAGGTCATGAGAATAAGTAAAATGATCGCTATCTAAAGATGCTTTTAACCCCCCTTGTCGATACTATTGGAAATTAATACAGAGCAGTATGGAGAGTGCGCATGCTGGTGTTAGTGTGTTAAGGGTTAAAGCAGTTTAAGGCGACGCAGCAATGTAGCTGACGGATTTCAATAAGAGAATGAGAAAAAAAATTGAGCTGAGGAAAAAAAATCACTTCTGAGAAACTGTGACAGCGGATAGTCGTGCCTGCCAAACATGAAACAGATAGAAATTACTCTAAATTTAAGAGAATTAAAAGTGGATATCAGGTGAAAAATTCGGAAATTCATTACAGACAAATAGCCATCAGTGATTGAGGATTGGTTGAGTAAATATTGCAAGGTTCGAAAAAAATCCCACTGCGTGGCGTAAAGGAAACAAACACATAAGTGATAGACTTTCGGTTAACCATTGAACGGCTTAGTTTTTGAAACGATAGTTCACTATACTTTTGCTTTGACTCCTAGACGCTGCGAGGAAACTGGGACGAGGTGACAGTTCATAAGAACGTGTTCAAGCGACGCATAAGCGCGCGTTACCTCCGTTTTAATCCAATGGCCTGGACACCACTCGGGCAGATTTGTATGAGAGTAGAAATTTACTTATGCCAGATTTATCAAGGTGAGTTTCTTCAATTATATTTATTGGACCCTTCAATAACAAGTTGGAAGAGAAAAACGACATTTCCAGTTCCAGTATTAACTTTTGCGGCATTCAAACATCTTGTCCCTCGACTTTCTCTGGCAGTTGTCCCATCAGAGCTCCCTTAAAATTCACATCTCTTCGGTTGATAAATCAGAGCTCTGGTTCCATTCACCAAACTTTTTAGTTCACCGCTCAAAGCTCTTCTTTCCTTCACATCTTATTTGCTTGACCTATCAGAGCTCTTGTTCTACCTACAGACCTTTCAAGCTGACCAATAAGAAACATTGTTGCATTCGCATCCTTTTTCAGTTGATCAATAGAAGCTCTTGTTAGAAGTTAACAAATTTTCTTTTTCGTGGATATTTCAGGATGTTCCAAGCCCACAGAGCGGAGTCCAACCGAAACTTCAACAACCTTCTCCGACAAGACATTTCCTTCCACAAGAAAATTAACACCCAGTGCGACTTTAAAATCGTCTACAAAACGTACAAACCCGACTGTTGCAAGCGAAAGCGTAGCTAGAAAACTTTACTCCAAAGGATTCAGAAGAAAAACGACTGACACCATTTGCCTTATGGCTGCGTGGTTATTGCTGATGGTAAATTTGTTAGTGGATTAACTGATAACAAGCAAATTGGATTTTATGTTCAACTGGGAGTTTTATCAGGGACACAAGCAAAGAAATGCGCTTCATTAAATGATAAAGAAGTCAGATAAAGAATAAAGCTGATAAACTGCTCCAAGTTGAATATTGCAGAGTTAAACTGGGGTTATGTCGACCGAATGAGAACAAGTACACAAAAATATTTGGAAGGCTTCAAGACCTGCAAGGCACCATGTAAAATTTCCTGTTAAAAGATTCTCAGAGGAACGGTGAAAAGATCCAGAATGGGGCAACAGTGATAAAAAAGTGCAGTTTAATTTGATACAGAGTAAAAAAATTATGAACCACTAAAGCTACGTCTTGAATAAATACGTATAAAAATAAATATCTTGTTTCACAAGGAGTAGCAGAATTGTTTGGTTATTTACATTGCGTGTGCTTTGCGCAAAAAAATGTCCTTTGAATATTGCCTAAAGAAAGTACATGAGATTGAAACTACACAGAAGAGGAGTAAAGTTTCAGCAATACTTTTATAACCTAGCCATTATAATTTAACTGAGGCTAAAGTGGCACCTACTTTCAGGGGCACCCCTAGGACTATAAAAAAATCCCCTGCAGAGAGTTAACATATACTGAATAATCTCAATTCAGGGGGGCACCCTTGGTACTACAAAAAGAGTTCCCTGAATTTAAGATGTCTCTTTCTAAAGCTATGAGAACATTTTTACAATCGGGACCACAGGTTCTTTTCCTTGAATAGGGATGCCCCTGAAAGAGGTGTTATAAAAAGAAGTTCTACTGTATTTCAAAATCGTCCTATATCAATTAAATTTAAAAATATTCTGTTTTTACAATTAACGCCGAAGGATCCTTTAGGTAATCCTGAGCAAACTTTATAATCTGCTGGGAAGTTATCTGATTGAGCCGCGCCTGGATTCTAGTCCCCATACCATGTAGCTCTTCGATAGGAGGATAAAAAGCGGCATGTTGATGATCGTCGTGTTGAATGATACATAGCCGAGGATAGTGGTACAAGGGGGGGACGTTCTCAGCTTGTCTTCCTGAGTAAGGAGAAAAAAGAAAAAAATCATACTCGCACAAGAAATAAGTCACGAAGCAGAAACTATCCTTTGACCTAATAAATCTTAAGCCGAAGAAAGGCGGCAAAAAACAGTCTGAGAGGGGGAAGTGATGGGTTTGAAGCTAGGAGGGTGAGGGCTCTCCTTATAACGCCCCCCCTCCACCCCCACCCCACCGACTACTTTGTTAGAGGATAGAGGACAGTTCCTTCTCGGCCCTTCCTACTAGAGCCTGTTCACAAGCTGACGAGATCCTGCCCGCAGGTTCACAAGCTATGAAATATTGCAGTGGAGTGCATCTCGAAAGAGTGTCATTAAAACGAAAACAGTCTATGAGTAAAAGTAAGTACATGTCGAAGAGAAAACTTAGTTTTGTTTCGTCCATTCATTTTCAAACTTCGTCTGAATAAATTCTGAGCTGAGCTAAGCCAAGTCAAGCCACAAAGACTCAAACTCAGAGAAGGAAAGAGGCGTCTTACCAAAAGCATGCTTGGCATGGTAATCTCGAGGTACAAAACGACTCGCCCAGTGCGCAAACTCGTCTATATCCAAAGTCACAAACACCATTTCATTGTACAATGTGTAAGCTGATTCTAGGAGCTCCTGAAAAAACACGCAAACAAAAAAATACGGATGAAAGATATGTTCTTCTTGGCAGCCGTTGATCGGCGTAGTCACGCAAGGTGTTCTCTTCCCATGGTCCGGCAATGTGCGTTGCGTGACATAACCCAACATCGGCTGCAAGTGACATTACCAGGGAGACTGAGCTATTGACGAAAGGCATAGCAAGCATGCTAACGAGATTCTTTAGTCGTTGAGTTTCCTCACCTTATAAAACGAGCTGTCTTTCGATACGTTGTTCTTGTGTGCCAGTGCGAACAGTATGGGCAAGTTGTGTGCATAAGGTTCGAAGTTCGCATTCTCTTCAGATCTGAAAGGAAAGAAAATACCCACTATTAAAGAAGCTATCGAAATGACGGACTGAATTCACAAACGTCTCCCCACTCTGGTGAAAAAAAAATCAAGTTTGAAAATAGTCTTTGCTTTTGCGAAGGTTATTCTCAATAAAACTTCTGCACCTACTCCGACCTTTCCGACATCAACAGCCCCAACCCTGTGACCCGTGAGTGATTAACATCTAACTTCTCCCCAGAATCAAAACACACGAGGAAATGATCAACAGCTAAAGAAGCTCTTGATTGTTCAACAAATTCTCCTTGTCAGCACCTTAGGAAATGCATAAAGAACAGTATGGAGAATATAAATGCTGATGTTAGGGTGTACAGGGTTAACACAAAAGCCCCAGCCAGTCAAGCGTAAACCGCACTCCTAAAATAATTTTTCCTGACTATATCCTTTCCACCATGGCAACCCACCAACCGCTTATCAGAGCAACGGGTGACATCACATTTACCAACCCTTGGGAAAACTTGGGTGACAAATTCAGGACTGCTTTTGATTTTGCATCTCCAAATTCGCGGAACTCAAAGTAAAAACAACCAAACAATCTAAAACGCGGGCGACCAAGTTGTGATTGGTTTTAGTTTTGCATCTCATTGGCTGAGAGAGTGGCGCGAGTTTTCTGGACCAATCACAGAGCAAAAAAGCAAAGCAGTCTCAAATAACTTTCGAGTCTAAACTGAAAAGTGTTTTACATACTTACCCCAACTTGGTGTGAAATGCAGCTGAGGTCATATGAAGAACTGGAAGTCTTCGGTGATCTTGAACAAAGCGCAAAGCAATATCTGTGCATATTTTGTGGTTGTATTCACATTTGAAGTTCTTGGGCATTTCGTATCTGTAAATGTATGAATTTAAGAATCCTAATCCAGAAAAGGTGTTATTAAAGGTAAGGGTGGTCCTAGAAAGAAATACAGTCAGTGGAGGGTCGGGTCAAGGAATAATCATCGCTGAAAGGGTGGGGTGGGGGGGGGGGAGAGTCTAAAATTACTTCTCGACCAACCTTCATCCCCTTACCTCAACTTCACTCGCGGTTACACACATGAAAAACACAAAACAGCCGCCGTAGTGGTTATTACGGTTCTGTCATTGAAAGAATGTTGATATCATACCCCTAAGGGTATGCTGGATCTGCCACTGTAGTGTCAGTATCAGAGTCAAAGTGCACTGCTAGAACCTCTTGCACAAACCCTTATAAACTAATTCAGATCCGTGGGGGGGGGGGGAAGGGAGGGGAGTAGTCGCGCAACACTGACGTCAACGAGCGCTCTTAACACCATGCCATGAATTCGTATTATCTGGACAGAATATATTTAAAAATTATGAAAATGTCTACATGAATTGAACCCTTTCATTCCCAAGAGCCAAATATATATTCTCAGTAATGCCTATCCTCCATTATTTAAAATTTTAGTACCGAGATTTTAGCGTTGAATGAAACGATATCCCCTTGATGATATTTTACGTTCTTCTCGTCACCCTTTTGCTTTAAAATGTATCGAGATTGTAAGGAGAAATTCCGCTTTAATCTCACTTGTGAGAAAGTAAATTGGACGGCACCAACCTGTGAGTGTCGTGAAACATGTGCAGTCTGGTGTCCCTTTGATTGTTGATCAAAGATTCCACATTTTGACCCAACTGAAAAACTTTTACTCTAACACCATCGCTTCTTTGAAGCTCAAGCTAACAACAAACGGTAAAAGTGAGAGATGTTCTAAAGCAAATATGGAAAATCAAAACAAAACAACGACAACAAAGAACAGAACAAAACAAAGAAAAAGATATCCATGCGTAAATGCGTTTTCTATCAAAAAGATGTAAGCAAGTCTTTCTTTTCGTGAGAAAAGAACCAAAAAAACATTTTACGAACAAATCGTACCGCAGTAATAAAATTGTTTTCTACATGATTTTTTTACGTCTCAAAAAGTGTTTTAATTTTCTCTTTTACTTGTACATCCAAATGAGAATGTTGTTTTAAAAGCCTTAGCACGAGAAGCCGAGTTCCAAAAGTTTAAAAGTTCAATTTGCTTTTTATTTCACGAAAAAAACCCGGATAACAGTGATAAAAAATTCGTTATTTTACAAACAGAACCGAAAAACACTCCATGATGTTTTGCAAATCCTAATGTAATATCAGAGATTTTACCCAATGATTTTCAAACGATTTCTTGTTCGATTGTAAGTCTTTCCCAACACTAATCAAATTTAGTTTAGGCAGTCAGCTTAGACAGTTTAGTCAGTTACCTAAATCTTAATCAAAATTATAACAAAATTCTCGAACGTGATTGGTTATCACCAGCCTGATTTGAGCATTAATTGGACAGTGTGCGCGTCACGCTTGTAATTGGACAGTGTAATAGAACAGTTAAAGGGACAGTTAACACGTCATGCCTGTGTGAGTGGACAGAACGCGTCATGTGCGCGCGCTGTTGTCTTGCATGTCGCCGACTTAACGGTAGTTTTTGTCTAATGAAAACGTATAACCGATGTCTAGCCGATGTTTCTTTCATAAATTTTGTCATCATTTTGATTAATTGGCAACGGGACTTTGTGTCGTCCAATTCTGTCTGTAATCATACTCGTGATTAAAAAAGCGGACTTCCGCTTCGCGGTCGTCCGATTTTGTTAATCACTCGTGTGATTACAAACCGAATTGGACTCCCCGCGGTCCTATTACCATTGTTAATTATACTGACCCGCCTTAGATTAGTTATGGCTATTACGGAGCAGCCAATCTATTGGTGTAAATAATAGAGTGTAAAGTGTACCTTTGATAGCACAAGATCTTGATCTTTTGCTTTCGTTTTACTTCCATCATCAACAACATCTCTGGTGTAAATCGCAAAGCAAGGTACGCGACCATACAGAAGCTCACAAACCAGTTGAAAACAGTGAAAAGGGTACCACTTGTTGGCAAGAGTTGTGGCAAGATAGCGGCGAGCAAGAGTCCGTGTGTATAGCGTGCCAATCAACCTGACGTCCATATCCTTAGAAAAAGGAAACACAATCGAATAATGGGGGTAAGTTTCTGAAGAAAATGTGGTGCTGCGTCGGTGGGAGGGTATAACAGGGTAATTTATTATTATCGACTGAGTTGATAACGTAAAGTGGCCACCGTAAATAGTTTAAAGGCTGACGTTTTGAGCGTTAGCCCCTCTACAGAGTGATTCAAGGGTTAGTCCTTCGTCAGAGGGGGTCGGGGTCGCTCTACTTAATTCGAACTAAAAATTTCACATTCTGCCAAACGATAGGTACTTATAGAGCGCTTTTAAACCGACCATCTAGAAGCAAAACCAAAGAGATCGCAACAGCCAATCAGAACCAACAACAAAAAGTATAACAAATGAGGTCACAGCAAAAACATTTGAACTTCCTGAAAGGCGGGTAAACGCTAAACACCAGATCGCGTTTGGCTTCAACTCTGTATTTGATTGCTCGAGGAAGTGGAGCAGCTTTTTTCCGGGCCAATCACAGAGAATAAAACCAAGGCAATCCCGAATTACTTTACACACTCAATTCAAAACGGCACTATACCGCGACAAACCAACTAGAGCTCAACATTGCAAACTTTGCAGAAGGCGTCAAAAGATCGAGGGCAAACTAGAAAACGCATTTGATTTTGGTCTATTTGCACCTGAATGGCTCAGAGAGCAGCAAGTTTTACAGCTCTGTTAAAGAAGTATTTTGAGCCAAAAGCAATTTAGATACAGCAAACTAAGCAAAAGGAGGAATTTTGTTTAGAAAATGTTTTGAACACTGTTTAAAATAGCATTATCAGGGCATCTGTGGTAAGCGTCAATGAACTAATACCGCATTCACACCAAAGTTAAAACACGTTTTAAAGCTGTTTTGTCAAACACGGTTTGAAAACGTTTTGATTCCTTGAGCCCTGTGTCCCATTTAGTCCTTCAGTTTTCTGTTGCTAATTTTTTATTCAGTTAAAGCTGGTTAACTAAACATGTTCTTCTATTGTGAATGGGGCATAGGATTGTTTTGGATGCTGTAAAGCTGTGATTGACCTCTAACGCCACGTGCCTTAATAATCGTTATGACACGAGAAGGCGTAGACTGAAACGCTAAAGCTGTCAGTGTCTTCCTTATAAATTAAAGAAAGGCAATAAAAGAGATACCATTTCAGGAATAGAGTCGAATAAATATCTTCTATCCACAGCCGGCTGACTAACGTTGGATAACCACTCTAGTACAAGTTTTGCCTGGAAATGATAGAGAAGAAAACTTATATATCTAATTTTACATATAGACTAGACTCATGTCGCAGCTTCTAATATTGAGAGTACAAAAAAACACAGCTTTTTCCTTGACAACCACAACCGCCTCGTCCACTTACTTGCCATGTTTCGCGCGCTAGTCTTTTCGCTCTCTTCACTAACAAAGAGCCTAGATTATGCTAATTACGTTTCCGAGGCAGCAAAAAAGACAGCTCCGTTCAATCATCAATGTGAATACTACGTTAACAATCACTCTGTAAAGGTATGACTCACTATTATCGGTCCGTGGTAGTCCAGCCTGATGTAAGTTGAATGAGAACTTGAACAACTCTCGACTGCAGACCAGCTCAGACTGCGGAAAGCTGTGAGCGTTGGGAAGCCTGTGACGCCATACCGCTGACACGTTAGAGGGTCTGTTGAACAGTTGTGTACAAACACAGACGCCCCTGGAACGAAAAGAAGTGCAAGTTATGTAGCTTACTAAGTAGCAGTAACCCACTAAGACTAGTTCACAGTGATCGATTTTTGCATCACAACCAAATCCCGCTTTCATTACTCAAAGCTGCACTTGAAACATGCTGTACAACATCTTGTTTTCTTATCTAAGTTTTAAAAACCGTGTAATTCTACATATACTATGCCGAAGTGCTTTTAATTGAATTTCGTAAAACCGAACCTAAGTAATCATACAAGCCAATCAGAAGAAAGGAAAATACCTCTATGAGCCAATGAGAACTCAAAGAAAATCCGACTTGCCTCAAGCGCGGGAAAACGCGGGCGACCAAGTCGTGATTGGTCATAGTTTTGCATCTGATTGGTTGATTGAGTGTAGCGAGTTTTCTAGACGAATCACAGCGCGAAGTAAGGCAAAAACAGAGCAATGCCGGATTACTTTCCACACTCAGTTGAAAATTGCTCTAATGCTATAACACATACCTAAATACTTGGCGTCCGATGATATTCGTTCAATTGTTGGTAAAACCTGATTGCAGTAGCTGCAGCTCTCTTGAAGAAACACAATCTATATGAAATCCACAGAAGAACTAATTATTCCTTACAAATTACAAATTATTCCTGACAAAACTCAGTTTTCTTATTCCGCTTAAATAATTAAATTATTGTTTCCTAACATCAAAGTCAGTCACTTTGTATTTTCATACTTAGTCTGTTGAGCGAAGTAAGAGGTGACAATGGCGGGTAAAAGCGCGCGAAAAGTTTTGCGCGGTTGAACACGCGTCAAGTTTCGTTAGTTGTTTCCGTGTAGGATATCAGAGGTCTGGAGGAGTAAATTAACAGTTTCATTAAAATAAAGGGCTACATGTATTCTACATGTATGTTACACTGGTTAAATGTCTGATGACTCACCAAAGATACAGAAAACAGACGAGAAGTTTGCATGATTGGAAAAGCTGCGGCAGTGTACGACTTGACTGGACCAACGGATTGCTCAACCAGAGAAGACCAGGTTTTATCATTCACGTAATGAAACTGAAGCTTTTTTTGTTGTTTCTTCTGAACTTGTGCCTATGAAACACGTTCAAACAGATATGATTGTAGTAGTCATGCAAAGGGCTGCAGAAGGTGCTGTGACCAAACAAACAGAGCGTTTTTGCAATGACCAATCAAAGTGAAAAGCGTTATTATAATGACCAATCAAAGTGAAGAGATATATCACGAAGAACCAATCAGAGCATAGAGCAAATAGACGTTACAGGTCTGAAGCGCGGGAAAACGCGTGTGACCAAGTCGTGACTGGTTGTTTCTGATCGGCTGAGATGATGCAGCCATGGTTCAGCTGCTTACATCAATAACATCGTAACAGCTAATTCTAATGGTATTCATGCGGGTGAAATCGTTGAAGAACGACACAACCTAAGTGAAAACTTACTAAATCAAAATTACTCCAAAAGAATGGGGTACAACAACTTCTTCATGGGCTAATTTGGGAGGTACAGGTAGGTGATAGCACATAAAATGTCCAAGATGGAAGAAGCGTTATTTTGGTTTGCGACACAATCCTTAGTAGGAAACTGCACGACAAGCATTATCAGACCAAGATTAGAAAGGAGGAGAACAATTTAGTTATAACAATGATAATGATCACCTTTGTCTGCCAGGAAGGTGGAGGTAAAGGAGGTCCAAACATAACGTTATTGTGCTCAAAATCTGTAACAGTGCTGTTATCTCCTTCGACACACTTGTCTTCTGATATATCAAGGTTGCAAACTTTCTGGAAAATACGTTTTCGATGACATTCTGATTCAATGATAGTTGACCCAGAATATCAGTAGTGAATGAATCCCTGTCAAATATCCCTGAATCTTCCCCAGAATATGCCTTCATGAGATTTTCATGTCTCACTTACGATTTTATTATGCTCAACATGGAATGGCCACCATGCACGCCTCTGGTAGTTTATTTATAATATCAAAAGCCACTTCTCTATGAGTTATCAAGTGTGATCCCCAAAAAAAAAGAGACTAATTTTCCATATTAAAAAAAAGTCTCTCTGTGAGTTATCAAGTGTGATCCCAAAAAAAAAAGACTTATTTTCCATATTAAAAAAAAGTCTCTATGAGTTATCAAGTGTGATCCAAAAAAAAAAAAAGATTTATTTTCCATATTAAAAATCTAACACAAACATACCACAAAAGAATAATCTAATTTGAACAGCCACTGCCAAACTGCTAAACTATCTCCAATGAACGTCATGCAAACCTTTCACAGATTTAGTCTCTTAACCCTTAAACCCCTAAGAGTGACCAGCTTCTAATTTCTCCATACAATATCACCCCTGAATCACACATTAAGGTCACGAGAATCAAGGAAATGACACCAACTTTTTAAGCTACAGATTTTTAGACAAATTCTCCTTGTCAGCGCTTCAGGAAATGTATAGAGAACAGTATGGAGAATATGCATACCGATGTTAGGGTGTAAAGGGTTAATATATGGAAACAGATAATTCAGAAACAATTGTGTTATTAACCTTAGCGTCATCACTTTCCTTCCATGGATTAAAGACTTCATCAACATCATCATCATCATCATCTGGCGCGGTGGGAAGCACAACAACTGGCAATGTTTGCAGAAATTCATAAAGAAGTAGTGGAGTGGGAACATCTTTGTCATATAATTGTTGTTTAATTATAAACCCTGTTGAAAAAATACATTTTTGTAGCCAAGTTAAAAATATTACATTTAGGCACATTACACAATGTCTTCTGAGCACTGTGAAAAGTTATTCATATGCAGCTTTATACAAAAGAAATATGGTCTCATTTAAAGTGCAAAACTAAAGACAACAACAAGCAACAGGGAATGAGAAGATGTTACTTACTCTGTGAAGTTGATTCTCTTTCCTGCCAGAAAACGATGGTAAAAGGGACAGCGTACACATCTGACGCAATCACGTATCTTGCTATCACTGGATAATATGACAATAAAATTTTACAATTCCAAGATTTGCAATAAATTAATTAACCCCTATTATTACTTTTGATTAGTTCATCAGTGCATGCAAAAAGGCCAAAGAAAAGTCACTTAGGACAACTGAACAATATGAATAAATTTTACATCAGACATGTATGAATATACATTCCATTAGTTTACAATTCATATCAAGATAACAAAGAAGGTTTGAATTCCTAACATAAGGCTGTACTTGATATCTGTTAGTTTAACCCTTTAACTCCCAGAAGTGATTTACATGTAACTTCTCCCTATAATATCCATTCATTATACAGCAAACAGGTAATGAGAATACTCAAACATATCAGGTAGAGCCAGAGGTTGTTCTCTTGATCTAACACCAAATTCTTGCAACTAATTTAAAAGGGAATGTGTAACAGCTAGAAGGAAGAATTAACAATCAGATCTTGGGATTTAAAGGATAATCAATTAGAGTTTACTGATACACTCAAAACTCTCTTCAATCTTTGAATCTCAAGATGTTATCTGTGACTCTCTTTTCTGGCTGCTACACACATCCTTTTAAGCAAGTGAGGAGAATTTGGAATTGCATCAAGATAATAGCCTTTTGCTGATAAATTTGTCTTTTCTTGTCACCTGTTTACAAGATATTGTTTCGATATTATAAGGAGAAGTTATATGTCAACAACTTCTGGGTGTTGTTGGTGAAAGACGGGATATAGAACCCCCCCTTCTACCAAAAAGGGGAATGTTTCTAAGAAGGAGAGGTTACATTTCATTACAGAAGTTACGAACACTTATGGGTGTGTCTACCAAAAAGGGGAATGTTTCTAAGAAGGAGAGGTTACATTTCATTACAGAAGTTACGATCACTTATGGGTGTGGATAAGCTAAAGGGTCTTTGCTATTTATTTAACTCTGTAAGGATTGACTTCATCAACATTACTTATTTTGTAACCATATATTTGCAAATTATATTAATTACCTTCTGGGTAACTCATGATGTTGAGCATTGCAAATCGCACAGGGAGTTTCATTTTTGTGAATGTGTCATATGATCGATGAAAAGCATCCAAGTAATTAAGGGTTCGTGGGCTTCTTGGAGAATAAAAACACACCACTATGGGCAGCTGTGGATGTTTTGTCTCCAACACTTCATCAAAGAAATTATCCTATCAAAGTAACACCATTACAAAGATTATATTATAAATCTCAGCATAAGCTAGTCTGTGGTTCAAACACTGTACTGTTTTCTGGCTTTAAGAAACTGACAAAGGAGTTTATTTCCTAATTATTAGTCTAAAAACTAATCACAAGAACAACAGAGAGAGATTGTATTGACTTGTAGACTGAATCAAGAAGGCTCTCAAGAGAGAGAGGGAGGGAAGGGGCTAAGAAGGAGACAAGGAAGAGGGGAGGGGGTAGGGGAGAAGGTGGTTTATTTCAAGTCAGTTCTTTCTGTCTGCCAAGCCCTCCTCCTAGAGAGAATAACATTCATATAGACTTTTTGATCTCATACTGGGTCAAGAAGGTAAAAGAAGTGTGTTAAGAAACAATGACTGCACGCCTTATCTCTCAATAAATCTCCTGTTGTTTAATACTTAAGTAAGTAACTAAGCAAAGAGGGTAAGTTTCTTAAGAAACTGTGGTGATGCATTGGTGGAAGAGTGTAATAAGGTAATTTGGTATTATCAATTGAGTTGATAATGTAAAATGGCCATCATTAAGAGTTTCCTAGCTGATCTTTCAAGTGTTAGCCCTTTGTCAGAGCGAATGAAGGGCTAATGCTTGAAATGTCAGCTTTGAATGTCTTAACTGTGGATAATTTTTCATTCTCAACTCAGTTGATAATACCAAATTACTATATAACTGAGCATTACACATGTCATAGCATAGAAAAAAAAGTTCTTAAAAAAATTACAAACTGACCAGATTCAATTGGTAAGCTTGGCTGTGTAGGGTGACCAGCATAACTTGAAGTCTTCTCTCTTCTACTTCAAGAACACTTTGTAAAACTAATGAAGACTTTTCTTTTTCTTTCCACTCTAAGGAAAACATTAAAATAAAACAAACATAATGAAGTCCTTTTTTTTCTTTAACAGTGTAACTTCTCTTCTTGATAAATCATAAACAGTGACATTCTGTGGATGGCTGTATATTAGTACCCATAGTGCAAAATCTACAAGGCAACAATAAGATCAAATCTGTGGACCAACCTTGAGAGTTGAACACTATAATGGCAGGAACCTTACTGATGTTGTATGCCTCAATCACATACCTGTCACCATGAATGAAGCACAAGTATTAGTGATATTCATCATTTTATAAAAATTTTACAAACTTGTAGTAATTATTAGCTACGCCATTTTGACAGATATATCTTTTAACTTTTACTTATCTTCTTTTTAATTGAAAAGGAATTAATATTTTAAGGAGAAATGTCTTTTTGGTCACGACTAGGAGTGAAAAAACTTACTCCTCAACATCTGAGGATGGAATAACAACAAACACTTGTATCCTTTCCTCCCAAATCTTAGCCAACTGTAGAAAGAAAAAACATAAACATAGGTATGTTAACAGCTTACAATAATTAGAACTCCAACAACACATCATTGAAAACTAGGTAATCATACCTAGTTATGGAAAGTCAGCTAGCTGAACTCCATCTTCCATGATGACAGAATCATTGATAAATAGTTATTAAATATTTAATATTCAATATTATTCTGACCTTTTTAAATGTGTTTTCTATTTGTTGGTGATAAAACTGACCAGGAATTCCCACTAAAGTGTAACCTTTATGACTACCAACTTCCTGAGATAGGTGATTTGTAGTGAATGGTGACAGTCTTTTGGAAAACATCCTCCTCTGTCGACCAAAAAATAATAATAAAACAGTTATTGGACATGTTATTGTCTTTTTGAAAATACACATGAAGGAGTTTAAAATGATTTTAAGTTTAATTGAATCAACAATAGTTTGATTTCAGTTTTTCCTTGTTCAATGATTCCAAATATGTATCTTAAACAAAGGGTTCAATACAAATTTAACTATTTAAAGGCCCTTTTTCCCACAATAATAGTTTAAAATCCTATGACAAGCATTGTTTTTGAGTATGTTTGTCTTGAGTGTGTTTTGAATTCATGCTCTTTGAAAATTCATTTTTCTTACAGCCAATGAGTCGTCTACTTTAGAGATCTTGCAGTTTAAGGTTTACCTTGAACCTAAAATCATTAGATTTCAATTTCCTATGTCTAAGATTAAAACACAAAAAGAAAAATAAAATTCATGTCTTCCGCCAAGGTAAACAGGGCAAGAAACCTTCTCTTCAACTCAGTTATCCTTTCAGACATGTGGCAATTATTTTAATTTTCAGGATCACAAGCTTACTTGTCCGAAAAACTTGACAACAACAACTACTACAGGTACATGGCAAGAAGCTACATTTGTATGGAAATTAATGGCTACACCATGCATAATAATATCAAATGTCATAGGAAGCAAAGTTATGAAATATGGAAAAAAAATTACATGTCCAAGTCAGATGATAGACAAGTTTAAGCCCATTTTTGCAGTAGTCTGTAGGACAAAGAGGATCATATCTTTCCTTGTCCAAATGGAAAAGATAACCATCTCGGTTGTTAAGAAGGCCTGAGTTTCCTGCCCACAAAAGATACACCCCTTTTCCCCACCTCTAGAAATAGTTCAACTCAAGGGCTTACACCCTAAACTTTATGACATGCCTTCTACTGCACCTACCAAAGTTTCAAACCATTTTCTCAATGAGCTGGTTGTTTTATGGGGTCTGTCAGGTGATGGGTAACTCAATGGTGAAGAAGCTGTTCCAATGTAGCACTGCAGAAGAGGAACCATACCTGGGTGGCCTTCCCATGATAACATTCCCTAAAGGAGCAAAAAAAAGATACATTTTATGAAGCAAACAGTGTGATTACATCTGAGCATTCTCCATGATCCTTAATCCATTCAGAAATAAATAATTAATCAGGTAATCTGCTACATACCTTGTCAAGGTTGAATGCTACAGTGCTCCATTCTTTGTAAGGATTATCATGTGCTAAACTATTCAAAAACTCTAAAAAGCTTTGCTCAAGCTTGGATGGAGGAATCTCTGAAAGGAATATTTATAACAGGACTCACTGAGTTGTTCAAGAAAATATTTACAACCCTTTGACTTTTCAAGGCCCCAAGCTGTCACAATTTTAGTTGCTGTGGTGTGAATACAAAAATTTTGGGCAGCTTTATTTGCATGGAAAGTCACCAGTTTTGTAACCTGTAACCCATCTCCTTGGTTGTACAAATATTAATTCGTGCAGAGCTAAACTTAAAAAAATGATTTTGGATCAACAGTCTGTGCCACTTCCTTTTTTCTTTATTCTCGAGAGGAATCAAATTTTATTTTTGGCTACCATTTCATGATTTTAGGATGCCAAATGGCAACTTTGAAAAAAGGTGGGTTTGGACTCCTGTTTTTTATCAATTTATCTATTTTTTATTTATTTATTATTTATTTGCGGTTGTACTGATAGGAATATAAATTAATCCTGTAAGGAGTTAAGAATTGAAAAAAAAAACAAAAAACAAAAAACGTTTTATCTGATACTTACTCGGATCTCTGTAAAAAACACAAAATGGCCATTCAGCTCCGGAATCTTTCAAACGATTTTCGAGTGCATCTTTGGAAGTCAACAACTCGCTAATATTCCTGGTCACACCGGAAAATCCTGAAGAAGATTTGATCAGAGAAAGTGATGTTCAACTGCAGTTTAACTAAGATTAGTTCATTAATGCCTGTGTAGAATCTTACCAAGGCAGAGATACCTCGTAAAAAGTACAAGGCAAATCCATGAAAAAAGGTTAAGTGATTGCATTATTGAAGTTTAACCGAACGTAGACAACGTAGCAACCGAGGAAGCCATCTTCGAACAAGAAGAAGATAGGAGGCTGGACACGAGAAATATCAAAATATTCCTTTCATGTAACTATCACTAACTGACAGCCACCAAAGATGGCTTTCCATCTTGTTTTGTCTGAAACATGAGCGACATGTTATTTGGTCCAAGGCAAGAATAACTGAATTATTTTGACCTTATATCAGTGGTTTTGAAGCCAGATGTTACAAATGTGTAGTTGTAACGACAAACACCGTGGCCTAAGGAACGTACTCTTAAATCGTTAAACTTGAATCTGGACAACTTCGCTTGCATATTTTTCTTCAGGTAAGTTTTTGATTGCTAGAAGCTATAAGCGCTGCTTCTTCATTGTTCAGCTGTGTATTGAGTGTACGAAAGATGATGTTAAGTTGCCCTAATTTTACTTAGTTTACCACTGTGCTCTAGGAATCATACTGGGTTGAACTTATATGGTAATAAATTATTTAATAATTGAAATATGCCCGCCGAAATGAAACCACATGTTTACGAGAATGACAAGAGCTTTGAAATTAAGTGCTGTTCATTTTCCAAAGAAAACAGTGAAACAACGATTTAAGTGATACCCTTTGGTTAGGTGTAAACTACATGGAATAGCTGGTTTAGCGTACATCTATGTCGTGACACTGACAGGTGTTAATTGGACTTTGGATCACGTTTCGCCAGGTCACTGCGTTGTGTTCTTGGGCGAGAAACTTACTCACGCATTGCCTTTATTCCCATGGGAGGTCGAGAGTTTCGAGCCTGTGACTGGACCAACACTCAGCGTCTTAAAATTACTCAGGAGAATGTGCTGCCTTTGTTATGACATTGCAAATGGTTGGATGTTGTGGTCTTTTTAGATAAGGATGATAAACCATAGGCCCCCTCTCCTGTACCTTCTCTGTACTGGTTAGCAGGGAACGTTAAATAACTCACGTGCTTCTTGCAAAGAGTAGGGAAATCACTGTAGTTCCAGGTGTTGTGGTCTAGCCACATGGTATGCGTGAACTACCAAGCCTTAGCATATTTAAAACTAAAATCCATAGAGTTGACCTGGCCAGCCTAGTGGAAGACAGTGGCAACTGCTGCAATCTTTGCAGCACGTGATTTTTTTTAATTATCTGCATTGTACAAGTATTTTTATGTTATCTGAACATTGTTAATATTTCTAAATATTTTTAAATTTTAATGCATAGTTTATCAGCTATATTGTTACTTATTATGATACTGTACATGTTCAGGAATTGCTCTGTGAAATCCTTGAGGTAACTGTGGGATAAAATTTAAATTCCTGTCCCTGAAAAGTAGCAGTATTTCTTGCCTTGGGCAGGATGGGTCATCTGGTTTAAAAATTGAACCTACTTATGATATGTATATAATATAGTTAAACATGTAGATGAAAAAAGTCATAAGTGACTTCTGACGGACAGCTTAATTCTCCTTCCAACTCGATGCCTATTTCTATACAGAACTTAAGGAGAATTTTATATGGCATGAAAAATTACTTGGAGTTCTATTCCACCCCTTCACTTGTAGTACATGACTTTGTTTATTTATTTGTTATGAAACTCAGGTTAATGGGAATCTAGTTAACTTAAGGATGGCCACTGACAGTGATCAGAGATTGCACCATTCTCTTGACCCCTAAGAATGAATAGGACAATATTTACCCTTTCAATATTATGCCTGAGTCACACATAAACCCTTAAACTCCTGAGGATAACTAGAATCAAATGTCTCACTAATGTATCCTTGCTGAATCAAACATGACTATTAAAGAATTAATCCTAAACTTGAAAAGCTCTTGACTTTTAGAAAAAATTGTCATTGTCCTTGACATACAAAATGTATAGAGAACAATGAGGAGTATATATGTGCTGATGTTATGGCATAAAGGGTTAAGTTGCATGGTGTTAATAACTTATTCCTCTTTCTTAACAGAATCCTTGGAAATGGTCATGGTGTTAAAGTCAGCAGATTACAAATCTGGAAAGTGCCAGTGTACTGGTCATCTATCTTGTTTGTTTGGGTACATGTACAGTACCAGCTGATAGATACATACTGAAAAAAAATTGTGTATTTGCAACAAAATCAATCAACTACCATGTCCAGGGCTGCAACATTGTTACAGGAGCTTGAACGTCTCAGAAGAAATGGTTATTCTGAAAGTTTTTTGGTAATTGAAATATTAGTGTTTTATTAGCTTTTATCATGCATGTTTTTATTAAGGATGCAATTTTTTTCTATTACCTTTTTAAGTATTTTCCAAGGTTTGATCTATTTGGGAGAAAAAAAATTAATTGAAATTTGCTGTATGTGCCAAGGTTGTTTTAAACAGTGTGGCATGTACCAAAGTATTGATGGATAGTCTTTTTAAAATTAAAAAAATGTATGAAAACCGAAAATAAAATAATTCCCTATTTTACCAGGATTATCATTTGAATACTTATGTTGCATTTGTTACATATCAGTTCTACCCACTAAGAACTTCATTATAGGACAAAAATTAATTTGGAAAAAAAATGGAATAGAATCAGATGTTTTAATATTTTTTTCCATAAGATGGTATTATAGGCAGCTGTGTCGTAAGGCAAAATCCAAACGTGAGAGCCTGCTTACAAGCTAAACAGAAATAGGTCTTATAGGCAGCAGACAGAGCTGTCACTGTTTGTGGTAAACCACTGGTAACCAGGTTATATTAACCCTTTAACTCCCATGAGTGACCAAGATAGCATTTCTCCTTACAATATCATTACAATATCAACCAGATAAGTGATGAGAATGGAGAAGAATATCAATTTGGGGATAATTAGTTGATCCAATACTAAATTCTCTAGACTAACATTATAATAATTGTATGGTTGACAGTAAGGAGAATTACAAATGTGATCTGGGGGTTAAATGGTTAAAATTGATAAGGGTTAAAATCCCTCACCAAAATTTGATAAGGCCTTGTATTTCTTTTATGAAAATTCATCTGAAACCTTTAATCAGTCTTCTCTCTCCTCCTCGACCCAATGAGTACCAAAAAGCAGATTGGGACCTATTGAAATGAGACCAAAGAAAATTGCTTGGCAGGCTAAATGCTAAGTTCCTTTTACTTTTGTCAAATTAAAGGTTCAGTAACATATCATTCCTTTAGACGAAATGTTCCTTGAGACAAAATGCTTTATTAAACAACAATGCTATTTTGTGTACTATGTTTTTTCTTACAGATGGTTGAAGTTAGTGCAAATCACAGTATTCTTTGTAATGAAAAACTCTACATTCCTCACATTGACAAGAACAAGCCAGTCACCTGGACTTTTACAGTTGCATCAAGTGTGAGTTGCTTTCTTTCATCTGTTAGTCGTAAATCTTTGAATGGAGACAAGGATTCTAAAAGAGAAGGAAGATGTTAAGGGCAAGCTTTTGAAACAAAGTCAAGCTATTTAGCAGGTTTACTCTAGATAGACCATCTTCTGGGTAACCCTTTGACCCTTAGAGTGTGTAGAATCTAATGTCTTCTTACAATATCACCCCTGAATCAAACATTAGGTCATGAGAATAAAGGAAATGATCGCCAACTAAAGAAACTGCTGATTGTTCAGTAAATTCTCCTTGTCAACACCTTAAGAAATGTATAGAGAACAGTATGGTGAATATGCATACTGATGAAAGGGTATAAAGGGTTAACCTTTTAATTCCCAGGAGTGATTCACATATAACTTCTCCCTACAACATCCATCCACTATACTATCAGGTAGAAGTTGTTATCTTGATCTAACAGCAAATTCATGCAACCAATTGACCAGGAAATGTCTAGCAGCTAGAGGGGAGAATTTATAATCAGATCCTGGTAATTAAAGGGTTAACAACAGATTTTTATAGAAATTAAGACATTTAAGAAGGCTTGTTGCCAACACTGGAAAACATTTATTACCTTAAATAACACTCTTGATAAGAAATCTTGAAGTCTATTGGTTGTCTAAAACCATGATCTAAAAGACTTAACATGCTTAACCTATTTAACTCCCATGAGTGACCAAGACAGAATTTCTCCTCACAATATCAAGTAGACAAGTGATGAGAATAGAGAAAAATATCAATTAGGGGATTATTATTTGATCAAATACCAAATTCTTGGGAGTAACAACAAAAGAATTGTATGGTAGACAGTTGGGAGAATTTGGAGTGGAAAGTTCATTGGGAATTTGAAACTCTCAAATGAGTATCTCAGGTATGTTATTATAAGTGTGTACAATGATTATCTTCCAGAGTCGTGTCAGCCAGTGGTGTAGGTTGCAGCGTGTATTTACACTGGATCCATACCTCCCAGAGTATAGCATTGTTCAGGTGAATGCTTGCACCCTAAGAGCAGGGTGCCAAGAATGGGTAAACAACACAGGCCATCCAATCACAGCGTACCAAATCACGTTCCGTTTTGTATCTGCACATTATGGCAGCTTTCAGCAGCGAATTGTGTTTGATTTTGCTGAGAAGCCCTTGGTTTACAGACAGCTTGAAGTGGTTGTTGCTCCGGAAAATGATTTGCTGCATACAATCCAGCATCCTGTGGTTTGTGAAGATGACAGTGAGTTATCCTGGCTTCGAAAATATCAAGTTGTGCCTTTTGATCCCACTGATACTCAAGGTACAGTCACACCTACATGTATGGCAATAAAATTATGATACAAAGCAAATATTTGCCTGCTAAACTAAAGGCTTTATTATTTTAATTATACACTTATGTATATGTACTACCCTACAGAACATATTGGTAAGTGCAATGAATAAGAGACTGAAATCACCTGGTTAGCTCATGCTGTAAAATGCCAGATTGCCCTTCAGGAGGTCACAGGTTTAAGCCCCAGACTGGATCAACACTCAGGGTCTTAAAATAATTGAGGAGAATGAACTGCCTTTGCTATAACATCTGCCAATGTTTGGACATTATAGTCCAATATAGTCCAATTATAGTCCATTATCTTCTTGGATAAGGACAATATATCACAGGCCTGGTTGCCTGC